TTCTGGAAATCTAAGTAAATCACATCATAGGCCTTTTTGTGATCAATTTCACTTGTACTGTAGCTTCCTCAAAGAACTCAAGTAGATTCGTTAAACAGGATCTACCTCTCCTAAATCCATGTTGGCTATCCTTTATAATGTTATTTGCATCTAGGTAATCTACCATTTTCACTTGAATTATAGCTTCCATTATTTTTCCAGTAATGCTAGTTAAACTGATTGGCCTATAGTTTGCTGGATTACTTCTATCCCCTTTTTTGAATATGGGTGTTATATTAGCATGCTTCCAATCTGATGGTACCACACCCGCAGATAACGATTTCTGGAATATTAAAGTCAAAGGTTGGCTAATAATATCCCTCATCTCTTTCAAGACTAAAGGTAAGATGCCATCAGGCCCCTGCGATTTATTTATTTTGAGTTTAGCTAGGCTTAGGAGTTAAACGGCCCAGCTGCAGACTGTGGTCACTGGTAATTGTTATCTCTGTAACAGGACCCGTACAACATGGAACGTGTGCTTTGGTTGCTGTCTGATAAGAACAGCGCTTTGGTGAAGGGCCTGATGGAGGAGTTTCAGAGCTCTCACAGACTGCAGCTGCCTGAAAAACTGCATAAAAAGGCTGGTTCACTTTTACTCGTCATATACACATATGAGGCAAAACATTGACCAACAATGACCACCCCTATATGAAGCGAATAATGACTATCCTGTTAAATATGGGATATAGGTCTGGGATGTATTAGAAGGCAATCTAACATTCAATAGAATACAGAAGAAATGGGCAGGGGGTAAAGATCTGAGTGACTTTGAGAAGGGCCAAATCATTATGGCTAGATGACTGCATCAGAGCATCTCCGAAATGGTGTGGTTTGTGCGGTGCTCACAGTCAGCTGTGGTGAGGACCTCCTGCGAGTGGTCCAAGGAGGGAAAGACTATAAACTGTTGACAGAGTGTTGGGTGCCTATGTCTTGTTGATGCATGATGCGAACTGAAGCTATCCTGCCAAGTAAAAACTAACAGAATAAAAAAAAATTGCAGGGAATACAGTTTTAGCAGCAACCACCACAGACGCTTTAGTATGTAACATGTTAAGGCAAAAACCATTTGATGGATCTTTTTCAAATTTTTCACAGTTATTGTATGGGTGAGGAACTAAAGCTGATTAAATTTTGAGACAGATCGCCACAAAACTGAAGTAGAGTGGCATAGTGACTGCAAAAAAAGAACAATTTTCACACTTGATCCTATTAAGATAACTTAAAAACCATTTAATGGATATTTTTCAAACTTTGCAAAGGCATCGTATAGATGCCAAACTGGAACAGCTTAAAATACTGAGACAGATCACCCCAAAACTGAAGCGACGCCATTTAGTGGCAGCAAACGGAAGGGTAAAAGCAGATGAGGTTTAACATCAAGAGTGGAACCACAGGACAGAGCACAGCTGAGAGTGAAAATGGAGCCAGCAGCAGCCTATTGTAAAAACGGCCATCTACCAACTGAACTTGTTCCATGTATAATTTTCAAACTTCCCAGAAACATTATACAGGTCAGTGATTCTAAATCTGCCGGGAGCTAGATGATGAGTGAATATTCTATAATATAGTTTATATAGGAGGTGGAGTGTGACTCAGCGGGCTAAGGCTCTGTGCCCCTGATCAGATGGTTGCTGCTTTGATCCATACCTTCAGTAAGGATCTTAACTCCCAGCTCCCTGGGCACCCTTTGCTGGGATCATCAAGCTTGCCCCATCTTGCTCTCCTTACAGGAGAGAGCGAAGAGAATTTCCCCTTTGGGGTTAATAAAGTATCATTATTCCATATTGATTTTTGGTCACTAGCCTCCCCAACTTTATCTGTAGTAATCTGGTCTGTATGGGGGCCGACCTGTTGTGTTGTTCATTTAATCTCTTTAGTAATATCAGTGGAATGTCTTGCACAACATGTGTTGCTGATATTACCAAAAACAACATGTCTGCCCCCATGTACTTCTCTGTTTTTTTCCCCTCTCCTGCACACCCCCAGCAATCCCTTCACCCCACAGTTTAAATACCTCTACTCTGCTGTAAGCCTTTTTGGATAAAATCATAAATAAGTTACATGTACAACGTTTGCACAAAAGAAATGTCTGTTTGCACAAAAAAAAAAACCTCCATATAAACTATTAGCGTATCTGTTACAGTTCTTACCGTTCAATCACAGACAACTTTGTTCGAAGTGCAAAAGAGAAATGAACAGAATGCAACTATTAAAACATGGAAATAAAAATAATATACGTAACATTTTCAAACATGGAAATCTAACCATACACAGAAGAATGCAAGTGGGGTGAGGAAAGATTCTGCAAATTTTCATACAATTGGAATGTGCAATAAATTAATAGGTGTAGTTTTAGACCGACATCACAACAGGAACTCAGAACGTTCATGTAAAAACACATTCATTAACCTTCACATTTCCAGGTGATCTATCCAGTGCTTTTAGAAATGGTACAGGTATGTGAGTGCGGGACGAGTATAGATTAGACTGGTGGACCAAATGACAGGACTCTTTGAGAAATACAATGCTGGTCGTTTCTGACAGCACCAGATCTAGTTTTAATGATGGTTACAGTAGTAGTTTGCACAAAAAAACAGGGCATCAAGCTCTGCTGTGTAACTTAAAAAGTATTGCATTTTTTTCAAACTTTGTAAACATCTTACATGGGTGAAAATTTTGAGTCAGATTACACCAAAATGGAAGCAGCAGCACTAGATGGCAGCATAGGACAGAAACAGCAGCTGCAGAAGACACTTGATCTTATGAACACCGTGAACTATGAACTTAGTATTTAATGGATATTTTCAGACTTCCCAGAAACATTGTATAGGTGATGAGCTTGAATGAATTGAAGCATTGTCACTTAGTGGTGGCCCATGAAAAGATACCCACAGATACACAGCTGGTGAACCTGATTGTGTTCAGGTCACACAAAATTGGACTTTTGATAAAGATATTTTGGAGAGTGTGTATGGGGGCTGGAGATGTTCATTGAGGAAAAAAATAACACAATGATACAATTGCAAATGGGATTTGGTATTAAAAGGCAGTATGACTTAAACCATAGATTTTTAAGCACTAATATGTATTATATTTGTGGAATCCATTAGGATGGTGTGCATTAGTCTGGTTTCTGAATGTTTGTGCTCTGTGTCTGCAGCTGTCTGCATTCATATCATCAGGCTCAGTCACAGATGAGATGATCATTGGTACTATGCAGAGGTGCTGGCAAGAAAACCACTACGTCCTGTGTCCCCACAGTGCTGTGGCAGCATGGTATCATTACCACGCCCCACTGCTAGGTCCTGCAGTGAGCAGGTCAGTCATGCAAGAGACATGCATGCATGAACAGCCTTGCAGCACTGTAAACTGCATGTAGAATCTGTTATGTGACTTTAGTAAAACTGGCTGTATCTCACTGCAATGCTTATATATGTATACTGTACACACATGCAGAGACATTGTCTTGTTTTACACTGGAATATGTGTTGTCCCACACAGTGCAGTGATAATCCAGGCTGTGTATGCTACCATTCTCATTGGCCAGGTGTTGCATAGCTACAGCATCCCCGGCCAAATTCCAAGAAGCCGTACAGAAGGCAGGACTGACCCTTGACCTCCCAAAGGAATTGTGGGCTCTAGAGGAGATGGAAACACGCTATGAGAAGTTGGAGAAGGGCACAGATTGGGAGGCCAGGCTGAAGGAACGCATCCGAGCTATAAGATGTGCACGGGAGAAAGGGCAGGTGTTTTACTCTGCAAAGAAATAATGGATATGTGAGCAATGAGTTTTAGAACATGAAACCCAAGGTTGTGGCTTGATTGTTTGACTCAGCAGTCAGTATAAACCTGTGTTGCACTAAATGATCAGAAATAAAGAACTTAATAATATAGTTGAAGTTGTGGAAGACTAAAGAGAAAAAGGGAAATTAAATTCCGGTGATTGAGATTTTATGTGATATTAATGTATCACAACAAAAGAAATATTAAACCAGCATTTTAAAATCTGTATTAATTGTGCATTATTTTTTAATCCTTTAGTATTGAATTGAACAGTTTATTAAATAACTTACAGCTTTCATTTGAGTGCATGCTCTGTAAATGCATTAAAACATTTGTTATCAGCCTTTATTTCACCCAAGAACTCCCCCCCCCGTGATCAGGAAAACATGTTTGGGCACCCTTACACAGGTTAGGATATTGTTTCCGTTGTATGCATTATGCAAAGACGTCAGAAATTGCCACTTTATTAATATAGACATTTTAATTTGGTTACACTGCCAAAAAATGTAATTTCTTTTGAACACGACTCAAACAAGTTTCCTCCACTATGTCTGCCAGCACTCCTTTTTTCCCCGTAAGTGTATGATATTGCCGTCAAAACACAATGTGACTCTAAATTTAAAACCTATTTTGCAAATGGTTCCAAACTTAAAACGCTGACAACCATTAAACATGTGCGTAATAATTGAAAAGACACTCATTTTAAAGGGGGGGGGGGCAAAGACCTTACTACACCCCTGTCTAGGAAGCATAGGCCACATGCAGAGATTAACTGCATGTTTTTGGACTGCGGGAGCAAAACTGAATACCTAGATGGGAGGAGATGCAAGCTTGATATTAAAATATTTTACATATTTTAAATATGACTATGTAACTATCTATTGCTTGGTGAGTTTGTGCAATCAAACCATCAATCAGCAAACAAATAAGCAATGATTAAATTATTTAGAAAAATATTTTCAAAAATGCTTACTGTTGTAGGGTTTCCAACTTTGGTCAGCTGGCTAGAGTGAGATTTTCAATTTGAAACAAGTGTGGACACACATGCACACAGATTTACATGTATGTAACAGGTTTATTACCTGTTACATACCTGTTACATATTACCTATTTATTACGCACAGGTTCTTAGAGCTCTGAAGAAGGTAAACCCCCACAAAGCAGGAGGACCAGATGGAGAGTTCTGAAAGCCTAGCTGGAGTGTACATCGACATTTTTAACTACTCTCTCTCACAGGAAATAGCCCCACGGTCCTTCAAGTCCTCTGTGATAGGTTTTTTAGGGACCGGTACTAACGTCTCCACAATGAATGACTTCAGGCCAGTGGCTCACTTCAGTTGCTATGAAGTGCCTGGAAAAACTGGTGCTAAGTTCTATAAACCCTGTCATCCCAGACACAGCTGACCCTCTGCAATTTGCCTACCGCCCAAACAGATCAGTGGAAAATGCAGTGGCTCTGGCACTTCATTACACACTGCAACACTTGGACACAAACAGAACATATGTGCACATGCTATTCTTAGATTACAGTTCCGCTTTTAATACAATCAGGCCAATGAAGCTGATTGCTAAGCTGGCAGACCTGGGAGTACCAACACCCACCTGTAACTGGATATTGGACTTCCTTACAGACAGACCACAGGTGGCGAGGATGAGAAACAAGGTCTCGGCTGAGCTCACAGTCGGCACAGGAAGCCCTCAAGGCTGCTGCCTCAGCCCAAAACTCAAGGGGATTAATGTACAACGGACTGACAACTATAAGTTTCTAGGTCTTCGCATCTTTGAAAATCTAAACTGGGCTAAAAATACTGTGGCAACTGTGAAGAAGGCAGAGCAGCGGCTGAACTTCATCAGGCTACTGAAGAAGGCTGGACTGAGACGTCAGCCCCTCACACAGGTCTATGGAGGACTCAGACGTCAGCCCCTCACACAGGCCTATGGAGGACTCAGACGTCAGCCCCTCACATAGGCCTATGGAGGACTCAGACGTCAGCCCCTCACACAGACCTATAGAGGACTCAGACATCAGCCCCTCACACAGGCCCATAGAGGACTCAGACGTCAGCCCCTCACACAGGTCTACAGAGGACTCAGACGTCAGCCCCTCACACAGACCTATAGAGGACTCAGACGTCAGCCCCTCACACAGACCTATAGAGGACTCAGACGTCAGCCCCTCACACAGGCCTAAAGAGGACTCGGACGTCAGCCCCTCACACAGGCCTATGGAGGACTCAGACGTCAGCCCCTCACACAGGCCTATGGAGAACTCAGACGTCATCCCCTCACACAGGCCTAAGGAGGACTCGGACGTCAGCCCCTCACACAGGCCTATGGAGGACTCAGACGTCAGCCCCTCACACAGGCCTATAGAGGACTCAGACGTCAGCCCCTCACACAGGCCTATAGAGGACTCAGACGTCAGCCCCTCACACAGGCCTATAGAGGACTCGGACATCAGCCCGTCACACAGGCCTATGGAGGACAAAGTGTCCTTACCAGCGACATCACTGTGTGGTTTGGAAATACTACACAGGCTGAGAGGAAATCTCTTCAACGAGCTGTAAAAACTGCAGAGAGGATCATACTCTCCGACCTCCCCTCTTTGGACGAGTTATATACAGAGCACTGTAGGAGGAAAGCCCAGGTCATACTCAGTGATCAACATCACCCAGCATTCTGCCTGTTTAGGAGGAAGAACTTAGGATACAGTCTAAGACACCACAGGCCAGATAGCATCACCACCTACAGCACGATTCTACACCAGCTTTTTCCCAGCCACAGTTAGACTGATGGCTAAGAACATTAAGGTGGGTAAGAAATACAGCCCCCCCAACTTCCCCCATGGACATTACCTGGACACTTAGCACTCCAAAGAGACAATCAGAAACATTGGAGCACTACAACCTCACTCTCATTCTGTGTCTTAAGATTCCTCTTAGGTAGTCAAATAATTCTTTAAGTGCAATATCTAGCTATCTATCTATCTATCTATCTATATAAATACTATCAAGGGTTTGCAAACTACCTCGATGCCTTTGGTGTAGATAATTTTAGATTTAAAATTGAATAATATATATTTGCCGTAAGATTTCTTGCGTGAATGTGAGAGTCTGAAAGCGTAAGAGTTGGCAACCCTGCTACAATCAACAGACAAATGACATTTACTCACAGGATGCAAACTGCGGCTCCATTGACCAGCATTCCCATGCCTGGAGCGAGCGCACGTTACGCTCGCCGCGTGCCAGCTCCTCCCTCCGGCCCAGCCCACCTGCGCGCGGTGAGCCGGCCAAAGATGGCGGAAGCTCGCTGGCGTTTGACAGGCGACGGAAGCGAACGTGTCTGACGGCGGCGTTCACTGATAAATATATTGCTGGCACTGCAGATACAATAATACAATGAGTCCAGGCGAAAAGAAATGATAAACCAGAGATTAACTCCGACCGGTTAAAACATTTTCTGACTGTTCATGTAGGCTGTGCTGAATGTAGCACAGAGACGGTGACATTAAGACATACTTTTTCCTGACCGAGTTTTCCTTGACTATTCCCCGGAGTCAAATGTGTCACAGGTAGGCGAATGAAGTTCTTCTGCGTTTGTATTGTTGTTGTTTTTTTATATAATTTTATTCAGTTCTGAAGCCAGCTATCGTGTGTGTGTGACTGTCAGCTGACACGTAGCCGCTGTTTACATAGCAGGTCTCTTCCCTGCTGGAAGAGCTGCCAGGAACGAGCATTTCAAACAAGTTCATGAGCCATAACACTTATTGTATGACTATCTGTCATATAATGCGGACGTGTTTTGGGTTTTCCATATGTTACATTACACTTACTGTGTATTTAATTGCAGCCTTCCTTCCCTGTATTATTTTATTTATTATGTATTTTATGCAACATTAGTAGACATAATAATAATAATAATTATAATAATAATAGCAGCAATAATAGAACATGGTGTCTCAGTGGGGTTGCACTGTTGTGTGCAGGCCTCCTATCCAAGGTGTACCCCAGCCTTTTGCCCAATGCCTCCTGGAATAATTTGAATTATCCCCCCACCCACCATAACCATGATCAGGATAAGCTTTTTTCCCCAGTATAATTTCTACTACTATTAAATAATGAGCTCATCATCAGTATTATGTGTTTTTTTGTAAGACTGCGGACATTGGCTTCCTATCTTGAGAGCACAGTGCTGTTAAACCCTTTGTTTACATGCACAGTTCCTGGTGTGCTTGATCTCAGCTACCGTAGTGTTAACTGCTATAGATACTTGTAAGCTTGTGTCTGTATGCTTCAGTTGCTTCATGTCAAACTTAAGAGTGTTGTGCACTGTATGATGAGCTGAGATTGACTTTAGCTGTGCTGTTAGTGTTTGGCTCTATTATAACCTAATTGTGGGTGCAGTAAACAACCGTGTGTGGTTAAAAAGCTTGTGAGAAAACAGTATTGTGATTTTTTTATATTTTCTGGGCTTGCCTCCAATTAATTCAGTCAGAATAGCCTAGATTAGACAGAGTTTTTCATTTTGGAAACTGTAAAACAGCCATATCTGTTATTTGTATTATAATGATGATTATAGCGCCTGTCTCACCCTTTGTGTAAGGGTGTGAGAGTTTCTTTACTTTGTTCATCTGGGTTAGGGGCAGTCCACACATTCCAGGACTGGCTGGGTTGGAGTTGTGCTATAGCTGCAGGCCGTATGGGCCTCCTTAAGCTTAGTTCATACTTCACTTTTCCATGTGCTGTTGTAGTCCAGTGTAGTGTAGTGAACCTTTTATTTATGCAATTAAAATGTTTTGCAATGTATGTAAATTGGCTACTGCCAGATGCAAGCAAATGATATCAAGTGAAAAGAGGCATTGGAAATGACTGATACAAATTGAAAGCGAAATGGTTATGAGTTAGCTGCTATAAGTTATTAAGATATTGTCGGTTATCTGGTTCTTCAAATGTTATGTGTATCGCTGAAGTCTGGAGGCTTATCATTTCTTTATGTCTCACTGGGTACTTGAATTGCACAGGAAAAGTATGGATGAAATATTTTGGTGTATTCTTGGACAAATATTAGAGAAGCACCAATTGTACCGGCCAACACAGCAACAATCAGCTACCGACTGACGGTCAAAAAATTAGCCAATATTTACTGCCGATAATTCTTTTTAAAATGGAGACCCATATTGCATTTGCGCACCTGCATACTAAACTGTTAGGAAAATGTCTGCTGTGTGGAATTATTTTATATTAGCAAAAATGACAGGAAATGCATTTTTCAAACATTACTCTGCTAAACTTTCACAAGGGGATCTACTAATAAACATTTCAACACAACAAATTTGATTGCTCACCTTAAGGCAAGACAGTGAATAGTATGAATAGTTTATGAAAAACAAATCCATTTCAGTAAGGCAGGCTGCAGTACTGCCGAATAATGCTAGTTCATCAGTAATACAAGCATTTGATAGCAAAAGAAAATTCAGTGCAGTACAAAATCAAAAGATATTACTTGGAAAATTATGGAGTTTATCAGACTTGATGATCAGCTCTCCTAAAATATAGTGCTCTGGAAATGTTGTTGTATGCCAGAGTTGGTGTTTTCTTACCAAAAAAAAATAAATACTTGTTAAATTTATTTGGGTGGAGTGTCCCTTTAAATTTATTTAAGCAGATCCTCCCAAACTATTGGCATCAGTACTGGTGTCAGTTTTCAAAATAATCGGCTATTGGTATTGGCCAGAAGTTTACTTATCGGTGTGTTACTAATAAGTACAAGTGTAAATTGCTTGCTTATTATTCATCATTTATTATTATGTATTGTTTATCCTTACCTCATTTGTGAGATTTAGCCATTACATCGCTCTATGCTCTAATCTTAATGTTACAATGGTATGTCTTTCGTTATTACTAGAAATGGCACAATATCAGTTTTTCTGGTCCAATCTCGATACCAATCTCATAGTGTCTAAAGTGACCCACATTTTTTCAACTGATTGTATTTTTTCAATATAATGTCTATACAGTATGAAAAAATTGATATGCTGGTACTTCTGCACCTTCTCCCCATGGCTGCTCACCATAACTACAACTATTCTTCTCCTGTTTCTTCATTGACTTATGCTCTGTAAAAGTCAGTGCTGCCACCTACTGGACATACCTAGTCAATTTCGTTCCAGATACGCACCGACATGCACGATGTCTGTCAGACATAAAAATTTATCAAACCTGCATGCAAACATTTTTTTTGCATAAACTGTGCACGTTCACATTTTTATGTATAGAGTAGTATTTATCAGTTTCTTCCTGTGTGGAGAATTGTCCGTATATTTACAAAAGCTCCCAACCATGCATACGTGCAAACCCCTAGTGGCAGAGGTGGAAAGTTCAGGTCCAAAAAGTACAAATCCAGACCAAGGTTTTGTTTCAACCAGTTGAGCATTCTGTGACTCACTACGTTTACATACACTGAGAAAATCGAATTATTGTGTTAGACCAACTAAAACCGGACTTTTAAAGTACATGTAAACATGGTAGTCTGACTGAAATCATACTAAATTAAATGTCTTGAAGTCGGACTAAGACACACAGATAATGTGATTTGGAATCGATTTACTCCTGCATGTATACATTCAATGGGACTCAAACCGGCCAAGGCATTCTGCGCATGCTCCAGTTTCCCCCCTGGGCTTTCACCCTGAAGTAACTTCAGAAGCCAGTACACAGAAGAAGTTTGGAGCATAGCAGAGGACGTACAGCACGTAGGAAATGTACAGCACTGTAAAGTTGGCCAATTCGCTGCTCAACTAAAGGGTGCTTTTCCATCACACCAGTTATCATGCTTTTGGTACTTCAAGAAGGTACCAAAGTACGGTACTTCAAGGTGTTGGTTTTACTCTGGCATAAAAACTGGTACCAGCTAGGGTTGCAAAGGGGCGGAAAATTTCCGGTAAATTTCCGGAAAGTTTCCGGTAAATTTCCG